ACTAAGATAAAAATGAATTATAGATACAAGTGATAGTGCGTAATCATGGCTACAGCTACGAAAGAGAGTCCTCTGACCCAAAAGTTATTGCTATGAAGCTGAACAGATTTCCCGGTACCGTTAATGATATAGTAAAGAAGGATTTGAAGTAAACGAAAGCTCACAAACTTTCACCTACTCCTCCAAATTAATAGCTATTTTTTAAGAGAGAGGGTTGTTCAAAAACTGGAATGCAATATTCCTCATTGTTGTTACAAACAGCATTTAGTTGCTTACTCTTCCATAAATGTTTTATAGTACTGAAATATAAAGTATAGTTTTACAATTAAAAAATCATTCCGAAACATTTGACGCATAAACTTTAACTTGGACGGCTTGCTGTTATCATGACTGTATTAACGAAATGAATAATGAGCAAAGACCATGAATCACGATATCCTATGAATAACTAGAAAAGTACTTGGACAGTATTCTTGTTACAAATAACCAAGTGCTTCTTAAAGAATGGGAATTTTGATATGGAACGGTAGCTTAAGCAACACATGGGCTAAATATTCATGTCAGAGATCGCTACGGCTCAGGTACAGTATCCCTTCATTGTGAGCTACCGATCAAAGGGAAGACAGACAGCAAGAAGCACCCGCCGCCACAAGGGTTTTGTTTGGCTCATTGAACTGAATAACGGGATTTAGTGTCACTTTTATAACGTGTCCACAGTGCGAAGCGTGTTTAGCGGCATCACGGCTTGAACTTTGGACACTTGTCAACAGCATTGAATGTTAATCATTAGGCCACGTCAAGTACATAATATAGGAATATCTGATTAATTCAGTTAAATTTCTGTGAATGAATGGTTTTATATATAACAGTTTTGTGATTTTAATACTAGTAATAAACGACCTTATAACACCAAATTTGTTATTTTTCTTTAATTGGGCATTCAATGTTTAGTAAAGGTTTAAGAGATCGTATTAGGGATAAACATAATAAATTCAAGAAAGTTAAACTTACTGGAAATAATAAGGACTTGGAGGACGATAGGAAATCAAGAGAGCTGATTAAAAAGAAAGTTAAAAGGCCAAAACCTGTATACGAAGGAGGGTTGGCTGAGAGAGTTCAATCAAACAATAAGGAATTCTTTAGATGTATGATGAGTAAGCAAAATGTTAGGATGGGGAATGGGCCTCTTAAAAATGATAGTGGGGAGCTGATCTCGGAAGATTATGAGATGGTAAACTTATTAAATTATATGTTATCTTCAGTGTTTACGAAGGAAGATACAAGTATTATGCCTCAACCAGAGCACTTAATGTATAGGGAAAATATTGATGTAAAAGATATTTTCACTTATGAAATTGTAAGAGAAAAGTTGGGAAACCTAAAATTTGATAAATCCCCTGGAGCAGACAACTTTTATCTTAGAGTTAAAGATTTTATTTGTGAACCGCTAACTAATATTTTTATATGTCATTGAGTAGTGGAAGAGTATTAAAAGATTGGAAGTTGGCTATTTAAAGGAGGTGATAAACATTGTCTAGTCAATTATAGGCCTATTAGTCTTACATCAGCAGTTGGAAAGGTTTTGGAGAGTGTGATTAAAGATGCATTGCAGAGTTACTTAAAGCAGTTTGATATAGTGTCAAAGAGCCATCGTGGTTTCACTAGGGGAAAGTCTTGTTTAAAAAACCTTCTGACATTCTTTGAGGATGTTACTGCAAGAGTTGATGAAGGAAATACTGTGGATTTGGTTTACCTTGATTTTCAGAAAGCGTTTGATAAGGTGCCTCACAAAAGACTTGTTACAAAAATTAAACCTGTGGGTGTGGGGGAAATGTTATTACATTGGATAGAAAATTGGCTGAAGAGTAGAAAGCAGAGTATAGTAATAAATGAAGTTAGATCTAACTGGATCACAGTTACAATTGGTGTGCCTCAGGGCTCTGTGCTGGGTCCTCTGCTGTTTGTGATTTATATTAATGATATTGACTCTTGAATGACTAACAAAATTTTGAAGTTTGCAAATGACATTAAGATTTTGGGGTGGCTAACTGTATCAGAGATGCTGCAGACTTACAGAGAGATTTAGATCATTTGATGCATTGGGCCAATATATGGCAGATGATGTTTAACAATCCAAAATGTAAGGTAATGTATGTAGGTTTTCACAATTCAGATTGTTACAATTTAAATGGAACTACATTAAATACTGAGGCTGAAAAAAAAAAGATCTTGGTGTTGTGATCGAAAAATCACTTAATTCATCTAAACAGTGTATTGTAGTTAGCAATAGGACTAACAGGATTTTGAGTGGCATCCATAGAAATATTGAATACAAGACAAGGGATATTATTGTTTCACTGTATAGATCACTTGTAAGGCCTCATTTAGAGTACTACTGTGTACAGTTTTGGGCTCCCTTCCTCAAGAAAAACATTGAATTGTTGGAGAAAGTTCGGAGAACAGCCACTAGAATGATACCTAAGATGGTGGGATTGTCCTATGAGGAGAGACTAAAATCTCTAAACTTGTTTTCTCTAGGGAGGAGAAGTGTCAGAGGGGATTTGATTGAAGTGTTTAAGATTATTAAGGATATTGATAATATAGATCTATCAAACTTTTGTGTGTTTAGCAGTGAAAACAATAGGACAAGGGGGCAAAAATTCACATTTTGGCAGCGTAGGAGTCGTCTGCAGTTTAGACAGTATTACTTCTCAAACAGGGTGGTTGGCTTTTGGAATGAGTCGAGTTCAAGAAAAGATTGGATGAATACATGAGTAGTAAGGGGTGGTTATAGTTGAGAGCTGGAAGGAACATCCTTGATTGGCTAATAAACTCCTCTTGTCCCTTCAAAATTTTATGAGTTTACAGCTAACTTCAGGAGCGTTTCACTAAAACACAAACCGTAACTGATAATACAAAGCTTCAATTAGTTTAAATAATTATTTCTAGTATGAAAAAGTCTTTTATACACCAATATGCACTACAGAAATTAAATAGAAAGTATTGATTGTTTCAGTAGATTTATACCAGGCAGTGCTCGAGTTATAACTACTCGACAAGACAAACTTCATAAATACAGTGAATACTATATTCGTACGCTCACATATATCAGTTTAATTACCCCATTGATCAGTCATTACATCAAAATTAAGATTTAACAATAATCTTGTATAAAACAAAATTAAAATCAAACAAAAACCAGCCTTACAAATGCTTAATGGAGATATCTGACACGCAGAGAGTCGGTACGACTGAAGATGCACACGCACATGTTTACATTGAGGCTAAGTCAGTCAGTTAGGTTTCATTCTCGAAATTTACCTCCGTGCCCATGATTTTATTAACAGATAGAAAGTGACGTTTATTTTAGCAATATTCAATTCGAGTGTTTATTAACATAAAGTAGATCAGAAATTAAATATTAATGAAAAGATGTAAAAGTATTAGAAATGCTTTGTCCTTTTCAGTTACTTATATTTGTAAAGATAGTGATAAATTTATGTCACCTATACTTGGAAAACTTTCGAGCCTGTTTTAGAAATAACAGTGCCTTCTACAATATATTAATTTATTTAAAAAAAAGGGCAAAAAATAATTATTTGTGCTAACCTTCAGTTAGATTACTCAAACATTTCATATCGCTATCTACTGGCATATTAAACAACAAGATACAGTTAACAAAACAGGATAAACTGAATTTCTGCACATAATTGTTTCTTTGTTTGTTTCGGATATTCACGCAAAACTACTCTGAAGCTATATGTGCTAGTCGTCTCTAATTTTGAATTGATAGACTAGAGGGAAGGCAGCTAGTCAACAGTATCTATTGAGATAAATCACCATTTAACATCGTACTACTTATTAGGCTCGGGTACATCTCAGGAGTGGCCCAATTGTTAGCGTGCCGAGCTATGGAGTTACGGATCCAACATTTAGGTCTCGTTACAGAAGAAAAATAAATCACCGTGAGTGCATTATAACGGTGACGGTAAAATCCCACTATAGTGAGAGTTGTCGATGGAGTACAAAGCTACACAATGGGCTATCTGTGCTCTGCCCACCTCGGGTATCGAAACCCGGTTTCTAGCGTTGTAAGTCCGCAGACACACCGCTGTGCCACTGGGGAGCCAATAGAGAAGGTGTATGATAAATAAATCGTTTATAACATTAATACTTTATCAAAGAACAGTGCAGTCGGTTTTACAATTGTACCGAACGTATACAAGCAATATTTATAGGAATTGTACTCATATAACTAGGAGACAAATAAGCAGACTCGATGTTCAAAAATCTTTATTTGTATTCTACTGTTTTTAAGCTAAAAGTTACAATGATGATTGTAATGCTTTATATCTTTTTTCATTTTCAATTTTAAGAATACTTTTCTAGCTAGCTAGCTAAGAAGAGTCAATTACACGTTCTTAAGAAAGAGTTAAACAATCAAAATATCACTAGACTTGATATCACACGTTTCCCCGACATACTGGTTCAAAAGCGCTTATAAACATTAGTTTGCTGGGCTGTAGTTTTTACAGTATTTCTTCCAATGTTAAAATCGTTGAAGTTACGGAACTGGTTCATGAAATCTATAACAGTCATATGTCTACTAATCGTTCCTTCGTTTTTGTCGATTAAATATATTGTTTTCATTAAATAATCTTATTTTCTGTCGATTAAAGTTCTGATATCCACTAAACACGCCCAGTTTTTCGCTATAGTCCAAGAACTCGCTGGGTCGTCCAAACTTACCTACATTTGCTTCAGGAAAGTCATCAAATACTCTTTTTATATGCTTATCTATTGTTTTGTATTGTCTAAGCACACGTTCTCTAATATCCTGACACACGAAACACTTGAGTTGGCCAAAGCTCTTCCCAAAGATTTCTTCACACACAATTTTGTCGTCAAACAAAGCCAGTGACAGCAAAAGCATCTTCATCAAAAGCGATTTCATTGTTCTGTCCGTCCGATGACTCACAATAAAGATTTCCTTCTGCTACTTTTAGTTCAAATGATTAATTTATACAGGCGTAAAAAATCGGCAACAAAGTTGAATATTTTTTACGTAACAGTCATCCCCTGATCAAGTAGGAACTGTAGAAATATAGATTCAAAATTCAGAACGATATTAAAACAAATTATTCCACTGGCAGATCAAATAGAAGTCAAAATAAACTAACTCACGAAAACAAAGGACCATTATGGTATCCTGTGCTGTCACCTGGCGGTAACAAATCACACTTTTAAACTTTAACAGGGATACTTGAATATTTAAAATGTTGATTTTAGATTGTTCAGAATAATTTTTCATGTTGGTTTTTCACACATAT